TGGGGTTTATCAATGGCAGAGATGATGACTTATTTTTGCTTAGCTGGGGTGATTCTTTGAACACACTACATGAGCAAGAACAGACTGACGCTAAAAAGGTAAAAGGCCAGTACACACACACATTAGTCTGGAATGTTGTGGGAAGTGACAGGGGCAAGATGGAAACCATACGTTCTACTCTCTTGTTAACCATTTAATATTATAAAACGAGAATAACAAAAGGGAAAAAGGAGAATCAACAAAACAAAACATTTGGTCTGTGGAGTGGAAAATATGTTATTATAGTTAACCTTTTTTTCATTTTATTGATTTCTATGAGAGTTTTTCCTTTCTTTTGTGAGAAAAGAAAAATCCCTCCAAACTTTATTTTTAAAAATAAAACATCCACTAGTTGATGATCAATTAACATATTTATACCTTGAACTGGAACAGCAGATTTATAAATAATCCATGTGTAGCATATATGATCGACAATAAGAACATGAATTAGAACTGTAGTTTTGCTAACTATGTAGGAGACTAAGAAATTAGTGTAAACTAACATACTCTTACCATATGATCCAGTAATTGTGCTCTTAGTATTTACTTAATGAATTGAAAATTTCTGTCCACACTAAAACCTGCATATGGATGTTTATACCAGCTTTATTCATAGCTATGAAAGCTTGGAAGCAACCAAGATCTCATTTTTCAGGTGACTGGATAAACTGTAGTGCATTTGGACAGTGGAATATTATTGAGTATTAAAAAGAAATGAGCTATCAGGCTGTGAAAAGTTGTAGAGAAAATTTAAAGCATATTACTATGTGAAAGAAGACAATATGAAAAAACTACGGGCTGTATAATTCCAGTCATATGACATCTGAAGAGGATAAAGCTGAGGAAATGGGGAAAAGACCAGTGGCTGCCAAGGGTTAAGGAGAAGGGAGGGATTAATAGGCACCACAGAAGATTTTTAGGACAATGGAACTATTCTGTATGATACTACAGTGGTGGATATATATCATTATACAGTTATTAAAATCGTAGAATGCACAATGCCAAGAGTGAACCCAAATGTAAACTATGGTCTCTGGGTGCTCATGCCTCTCTAGGTTCATACCTTGTAACAAGTATATCACCATGGTGTGGGATGCAGACAGTCTAGGAGGTTGTGGAGGGGGTTAGGGGGTGGATAGAAACTGTACTTTCCACTCAATTTTGTTGTGCACCTAAAACTGCTCTAAAAATAAAGTCTATTAAAAAAATAAGCATTAGGTTACCTGGGATTCTAGATGAAGGTCTCCATAGCCTTTGAAGATCTTAGGGTTCAAAATCCATATTCAGTGGTCCATTGCTTTGGCATAACAGTGTGACAAATACATTCAATTAAATAGTTTAAAATTTAGACAGTGATGAAAAACAGCATATCCTTGAAACAGAGTTAGTTTAGGGAAAAACAGGAAATGATATAATTTAGAATCAATATAATGATACTGATTCCATGTTAGAGAAAATCAGTATGTATCTATAGTTTAATGATGTTGAAGTGCCTAATCAATTAATTAAATTTAGGGAGGGGATATTGGAAGGGAGACAATTTATTTCAGTAAGGAAAAATTTTTAAGCAAGTATTTTAATTATCATAAACTGCTAGGGATTTCAATATTTTAATAGATTCATTTAGCTCTAAATGTCTTTAAGCATGTTATAAATTCTCCAGAGTCCCTATAACCTTTTAACATATTCATTGTCTCTTTCTAAGATAAGCTCACTATTGCTATTCTATTAGTTTGTTTTGTGATTTATTTCAAAGATTAAATGAATAACTTCACTTCTCATTCATGATAATTTAATCTTGATTTTTTAAATCAACATTTGATGGCAATTATCATTTACTAAAATGCATTCATTCCCATTCCTACAGATTATTTCCCTTTACTGTAAGTCTACATGTTGACACCATTGTTAAAAACATTTTATCGGTAATTATGTTTAGACCTAGTCTCTTTTCTGAGCTCAGTTTCTTAATAGTCTTGCAATAACCAACTCAATGTCAATTTTAGACATAAAAAAGATTCTGTTGCTGGATGGTGGGGAAGTGTTGGATTCACCAACCTTATTTCTCTTTTTCATTTTATCTTTCCCCTAATCCTGATGATTTCATAGAATTTTACAGGGTAAATTCACACACAACCCCACAACATAAATGGAAGGCCAACCATGTGTGGTGTGCTGCTGAAACAGAGGTCCACCACCCAAATGTGAGACAGAAGCCATCTTCACAAGGCATTTGTAAAAGGCTCAGTAAATATTCAAACCATAAGAAACCATGGCAGGGAAGATTATCTGTGGCAAGAATATAAGCAAACATCTCTGACTCTCTGATCCTTAACTTTACCACCAATAAAATGAAAACAAAACATATTCCCTTCCAGAAGTACTGTGATGATAAGTTGGAAATCAAGTGAAAATCAGTATTAGTCATAAAATTCCTTGTCAATATTAGATACCATAATAACTAATAATTAGGAAGAACACTGGCTACATGCCTTGAAATCGGAAGTTATGTGTGGTTATTAATCCTTGCATCCCAAATTCTTTATTCCATGTGAGTGTCTGGGGTATTGTGCAGCGTAAAGAACAGTAAAACCTGTTGAAAATTCCAAAACAAAGAGAAGAGCCAAGAAAAGAATAGGAATAATTTAATCAGATAGAATTCAAGTTTATCCCCAGCTTATTTGCCTTTTATTCATCGTTCAGTTGGTTACATTTCATTGGTTATCACCAAGGTTGTGCATGCACCTTGAAATGTTCACAAAAGGTCTACAACATGGGGGTTCATAATCAGGTTATATGTTATATTCAGAATCCCAGGGGAACTAATAGAGTCTGGAAATATTGATTAAGCAAGATGAAGAATTCTTATACAATTTCAACTACAAGAGTTTAAAAGACAAGTACAAGCTTCATTTGCCGCAAAACTCACAAAAAAGTGATTGAAGAATATCTCTTTATGCAAAATATACATTTTAGGATATAATTTGATTAATATTCTACTATATACTGACATTGCTCCTTGATAATTTAATAAAAAAATACTTGCATTGCCAGAATTTTATCTTCTGTAATATTTATAATTGAGGTAACAATGACAAAAGACTTAAACTATGCGTAATAGTAAATGAGTTAAGTCATAATGATTTTCCAGAACTAAACAAATACATGACTTAAAAGATCTGTTTTGATAGGTAGGCACTGAAAATTTCACAAAATGGTATGACAAGCTGATAACATACGTGGTTTATAGGAAAAGAATATATAGTCAATGTTCACGGATTCAACCAACACAGAAGAAATAAGGAAAAGTAAGACAGATCTATACTACACCAATATCATTGCCTTGTATGATTCACAGCACGATCTACTGCAGGCCCATGGGGTTAATTCACAGAGGTATGGACCTTAGTTGAAGCTTCAGAGATGTTGATCATGAATTCGGCTTCCTTTGATGTGAGATGGTCAAAGCTGTTGACCCATGCACACGTGTTGGTATTTACAGTTGTTTCATGGACACTGGCCAGTTCACAGGCAGACCTCTCATATGGGAAGCACCAAATGAGTTCCAGCCACCACTTCTTGATAAGCTCTAAATGCCTCATGAAGATGCAGGGACCTCTTCCAAGTGCAACCTGCTCATGTCAGGGCACATTCAGCAGCAGAAGTCTGTTTCCAGTACAGTCCTTGGTATGGCTAAATTCCACTGTCCCTTTTTCAGCAGTCAAATATCCATGATAAATTCTGTACAACACTGCAGTCAATAACAGCAGCACCAGACAGTATATTAATTCCTTTACCATAAAGCTATGTGTAATTATCATTTTCTATGTGTGGTGTTATCAAAAAGATCACCGAATCTCTGAATATCAGATGTGTACGTCTGGATAAATACACTGCTGTACAAGATCTCTGACATGCAGCTCATGCTCTAGGACTTGGTGATATAGAGAAATACATGTGATATGGCCAATAATAAAAATGACAATTGTCTTCCTAACAAGAGTAGATATGAGAATTAGGATTTAATCAACAGTCTCTAGGATTCTCAATGCCTTAGAAATACTATTCATCCCTCAATTTGGATTTGGCATTTCTCTTCCCTCACATGCCCAAGACAGCAGACACATTATTACTGCATTCACAGGGGTGTGTAAACAGAATTTATCCCACTTGGACTGACTAAGACTCCCTAGGGGGTCTGTTGGAATGTAGTGATAAATGCTGGTTGCTGGGGTATGGAAACAGACACTGCAGGCAACCAAATGCACTGGTGATATTTCTGCTTAAATCCTGCTTATCAAAAAGGTTCACAGTACCGATTAACTTAGGTAGTCTACAGGGCATCATTAATTCACACACAAAGCAGAGAGGCTGTTCCAAATAGCAAAGAAGGCAGGAGGCAGGGAAGAAGACCCAGAACTAAAATCCTGAACATCTTATGAAGGTATTTCTGTGCTTCATGGAGACAGATGGCATATACAGTTCAGACAGGGAGCTAAGACAGACACACAGACAGAACAATGTACAGGACAAAGCACCTGATTAAACACTGCCTGAAAATCTGATTAATCCTGTGAGTCAGAAATTAACGCTGGTCAAGAAAGCCTCCTATGAACAACAATACTTTTTGACGTTTGCACAAAAATTGGTAAATAAAAATAAAGGAAGGGGGTAAAAAAGACACGAGAGCTTTGGGAGATATGGTTAATTCACAGAGGTATGGACCTTAGTTGAAGCTTCAGAGATGTTGATCATGAATTCGGCTTCCTTTGATGTGAGATGGTCAAAGCTGTTGACCCATGCACACGTGTTGGTATTTACAGTTGTTTCATGGACACTGGCCAGTTCACAGGCAGACCTCTCATATGGGAAGCACCAAATGAGTTCCAGCCACCACTTCTTGATAAGCTCTAAATGCCTCATGAAGATGCAGGGACCTCTTCCAAGTGCAACCTGCTCATGTCAGGGCACATTCAGCAGCAGAAGTCTGTTTCCAGTACAGTCCTTGGTATGGCTAAATTCCACTGTCCCTTTTTCAGCAGTCAAATATCCATGATAAATTCTGTACAACACTGCAGTCAATAACAGCAGCACCAGACAGTATATTAATTCCTTTACCATAAAGCTATGTGTAATTATCATTTTCTATGTGTGGTGTTATCAAAAAGATCACCGAATCTCTGAATATCAGATGTGTACGTCTGGATAAATACACTGCTGTACAAGATCTCTGACATGCAGCTCATGCTCTAGGACTTGGTGATATAGAGAAATACATGTGATATGGCCAATAATAAAAATGACAATTGTCTTCCTAACAAGAGTAGATATGAGAATTAGGATTTAATCAACAGTCTCTAGGATTCTCAATGCCTTAGAAATACTATTCATCCCTCAATTTGGATTTGGCATTTCTCTTCCCTCACATGCCCAAGACAGCAGACACATTATTACTGCATTCACAGGGGTGTGTAAACAGAATTTATCCCACTTGGACTGACTAAGACTCCCTAGGGGGTCTGTTGGAATGTAGTGATAAATGCTGGTTGCTGGGGTATGGAAACAGACACTGCAGGCAACCAAATGCACTGGTGATATTTCTGCTTAAATCCTGCTTATCAAAAAGGTTCACAGTACCGATTAACTTAGGTAGTCTACAGGGCATCATTAATTCACACACAAAGCAGAGAGGCTGTTCCAAATAGCAAAGAAGGCAGGAGGCAGGGAAGAAGACCCAGAACTAAAATCCTGAACATCTTATGAAGGTATTTCTGTGCTTCATGGAGACAGATGGCATATACAGTTCAGACAGGGAGCTAAGACAGACACACAGACAGAACAATGTACAGGACAAAGCACCTGATTAAACACTGCCTGAAAATCTGATTAATCCTGTGAGTCAGAAATTAACGCTGGTCAAGAAAGCCTCCTATGAACAACAATACTTTTTGACGTTTGCACAAAAATTGGTAAATAAAAATAAAGGAAGGGGGTAAAAAAGACACGAGAGCTTTGGGAGATATTTGGCACTCTGCCACTGAAAATAATGACAAATCCTGGGATTAAAAAAAAAAAATGACTCTAGTACCAAGCAGCAATTCCTGACTAAACGATGCAAGCCTGGCTGGCAGTTACCTTTCTCTCATGTTTTGTGCCTTCCCCAAGCCATTAAGTAAGAGATCTGGCCTCAGCTTGCGTGTAACCAGTAATGACAACCTCTTTGCAGTTATCTGTGTGCAAACAACCAGAGACATTCAGAACTCCAATACAGCATTTTTGAAGAAAAGTAAGTCAATCAGGAAATTAAACTATTTAAAACAAATATTTCTTTCAAAGAATAAGGAAAAAAATATATCAAAGAGTAACTCGCCCTCCCTGCCCCACAATTCAACATGCAGAACAGTTGGCCAGTTCTTTCCTATCATCAGGATGGTTCGATGCAAGCACACATACCGTGAGCCATCCACGGTCCCCGAATTCTGTGACATCGCTTTCAGGTGATAGACACAAGATGGTCCATATAAATGAGCTAACCAAAGTCATGTTGTGTGCAATCAAGAGAGGATCCCAGACATCTTCAGAAGGGTTTAGAGAGTCACAAGAAATGAAAGTCCAATGAAGTGATTGGCATTTGGAAGCACACTGTTTTAAATGTATCTCCCTGAAGATATGTTTATGTATTAGTGTACTGGCCAATATCTGACACTACCTGTCATTTTATTGCAAAAGGAGACCAGGGCAATTAATATGGGGAAGGAGTAGCGCTACTTTAGATAACCTTTAAAGCCAGGATAAGATTTGTTAGCTACCCAAATGTAGCATTTCTGACTTCAAATGGTAGTAGCATGCAGTATTTATACTGTATTAATGGAGCTTGGAGTAACTCTACATTTAGGTATTTTCATTCTTGGGTAAACAGTACTTGAATTAATACAATTTAGCCGACTGATGCAGTTTGGTTTACAAAATAGATGGGATGGGAGATCGAGAACGCCTCAGAGGACAAGGAGAGTTGTAGGGTGATGTTACTGGAGAGAGCCTCAGAGCATTGCCTGCCAAGCCCGCTATGTTGTTTAAGCTTCTGGATTTTTCATATCCTTTCATGAAAAAATGCACAGACATCAGTTGAAATCAACCAGAAAACAGACACAGACAAAGGATACCATGCAGGGTATAGTTTTCACGATAAAACTCGAGTTTCTTCTAAAAAAAAAATACAAAGAATTCAATATTGAGACCATTTATAACTAAAAAAAATGAAGCTCACTATAGATGTCATTCCCAAAAGATTAAACCAGCTATCACAAATTATAGTTGCAATACTTCAAAATCTATTTTTTCCTAGATTATAGCTTGTATGGATGTAATTTTGGCATGTACAATACTGGAAATCTCTTAAGAATTTGGCAAAGCAAACCTGGGTAATATTTCTAAATTTCACAACATGTTCCTGAAAAAAAAAGCATACTATTTTTTCTTTTCTTTTCTTTTTTCTTTTTATTTTTTGCTATTTACTGAGCTAATAAGGCATACTGAACTCTAAGTGGCTGACTCTTTTTCCAGAATATTTAACCTTGCAGCTTTATAGTGTTAAAAGGATGACTCTTAAATAATGACATTTGATGCCATTATCTAGATGATGTAGAATGAATGCCTGTTTCTAATTCCTTGGATTAAAAATAAAAGAAAAAGGAAAAGAAAAGAAAATGAATGAAATACAAATTGAGTCATAATTTCAGTAAATTAAAGTCTCAACTTGATTATATGATGTTCTCAACTGACTCCCCCATGCCAGGAATTGAGAAAAATTTCATCTAGATTCACCTTTTCTTTCTATTATCTCGCTTTCTAATCTTTCGTTCATGACTGTAATGGACTTAGAATAAAAAATCATTCTCACAGGCTCTAACCCAGTGGTTTTCCTTAGCTACTCAAACAATCAATGTCACCTTTGAAAGTGTTCATACACTGTAGCATTTTTTATTAGAAAAGATTAGAGGCGGTTAAATGAGGTGGGGAGCACCTAGTATAAAAGTTAAAAGTGAACTGTCTAAAAGCAGAGCAACTATTGACTGGAAAATTTATACAGCTCAGGAAATAAATGTTTTGACAGCTCTGTTGAAAAAAAGTGTTGTAGAGCAGGAAAATGAAATTCTTTTTTGCACAGCCAGAGCTGAGCAAGTAGGTGCAATTCCAGTGAACTTGGTGCATCCCTTAGACTTAGGGCACAGTCCTTGGGTTCTGATCAGCCCTTTGTGTGCTTGATGACAATATAAGAAAAAAATGGGCTTTCTGTAGTTTCCTCATGTTCCTCTCAGCTGCTTCTATTTTTAGTTCTATATTTCCATGAAACTTCTGGGGAAGAAGCCAATGGTATCTCTCCTCCTTTCACTGAAAGAGGAGAAGTGAATCAAGTGATTTAATGATTTTTGATTTATGAGCACCTAGGACAAATACGGATATGAATTGAAATAATAGCACTACTGAGGTTTGGTAAAGCTGGACTGCATAGGACCCTCTCTCCCCATATACACACACATAAACTTTCAGCAGACTTGATGACTTCTTTGAGAAAATTTATGTCATCCACCAACTATTATAAAGTTCTCTAGGACATAATTTCTGCTAATGAGAGAACTATCTGCCAATATGTTTTGTTAGTATTCTGAGCTATAAAACATGGGAAGTTATATATTTTGTTCTACTCTGGTGGATGATAGAATAGTTAATAAGAGAATGTCAAATAATTAAAAAAGTACTGCAGGTAATTTACCCTTACCTATGAATCTTCATGTGCCTGAAGGGCTAGTTCTTATTGATTTTCTATAAAGTCATTGGAAATATGACTTGGAAGATTTAATATATTTAGGAAAAATAATTTAGCCTAGTTGACTGTGTAACTTAAGAATGTAAACTGCACTATAAATATTGATTCAGTTTGATTAAAAGCAAACTGGTGAATATGCATGAACAGTAGGGGCTGTGAATATCTATAAATCCTTCTTGAAGAAATTTACATCTTTTCTCCCATAATGCCCAAGCTCCCTACAGGGCCTCCAAAACAGTGAAAATCTGTTTGACGGTTTTATACTAAACACACTAGCTATATGTAACTCTTGATTGTATTTCTAAATGTTCAGTCATTTTTCTGAATAACAGTTTTTGCCATAAATATTAGCAATTCTGTTTATATTCCCTTTATTTTTAATACTTATAATTTCAGTGTTCCTTTGAAAAGACTTCCTTTCTAATTAAGCAACAGGCATTTAATTAGTAAAATTATAAGTTTTGCATATAAATACATTTTTCTTTATTTTGCAGGGTCATTTCTAATCAGATTTGACATAATTTTGCCTACCCAAATTTTATTGACTGGAATGGCTGAAAATATATTCATAAAATAAATAATGTTGAGCCGAAAAAATTTAAATGCATGGTTTGCATTTTATACAGTTTGTAAGAGCATACGCTTATTTGGGGCAATATTGAAATTGCCTATCCATGTACTATCTGTCAATGGGTATGTTTACATTATAGTTTAAAACAAGTAAGTAGTTTTACTTTCCTAAACACTATTGCGTAAATAAAAACACAGCTTCTAAGTATTGGGAGTTCTCTTTAAGGAATTCTTAAGTTTTCTCAATGTATGCTTAAATAAATTCACATTTGTTGGGAGAAAAAGAATTCAATGAGAATCCAGTAATTTCCTTTCATCTACATATAGGGGAGAATTTCAGAACTCTGAAATCAAATCAGTAGAGAGACCAACCTGAAAGGTCAAAGGGATTATATAGGAAATAAATGTCTGAGTAGGAGAATAGGAGAAATCTATCATCTACATAAATGGAAACAGGAGAAGAAATGAGTGTATTCCTGATAGACATGACAAAATAAATAGCACACTAAGAAGATTAAGTGAAGTTTGCCAGGAATGTTACTAGACCCAGGAGAAAAAAACACAGATGTGCAAAAGGATTAAGCAAGAATGAAAAAAGAAGTTGATTATGGTGAGAAATAAAGAATAAAAAGCTCATAGACTAATTTTTCAAAAATGTGCTCATTGACAAAGAATTTGTACTTGTGAAATAAGACTGTGTATAACTTTTCTATACAAACTAAGTATCTTATTAATTGCTTAGGTCATGAAACTACAATTTTTCATAAAACTACATTTACACAATGCTTTATAATTTGTAAAGTCTTTTTGCATATGTGATCTCCTTGACAGGTTAAAATTCAGAATATTGTCTAATTTAGGCTGTTTTAAAATATGTCACCTTAGTATGAATACCGCATGTGATACTTTATTAAATAATACTCAAAAATGTAAGTAAATGTAACCACATATTAAATATAAATACATATACACACATATGCACATATATACATGTATATACATATATGGTGAGTTGAAATATGCAATGCATAAAAAATATTATGGAATACATACTATTAATTAGATACTGTTATTATTATTGAAGTATGTACATGTATTTGCTCCAGTACTATGGTATTAACTATTTTCATTAAATATTTAAACATTTTCCAACACATAATATTTAAATGTAAAATAGCAAACAATCAAATAAGCCTAATCAGGTAATGGAAAAACACTTTGGTACAAGGAAGAGATGCAGAGAATGGAAGTAATTGAAATGAAGACTATTTAAAATATTACATACTGAAGGAACAATTGAGCTCTTGTCTTCTTTTTTTGAGACTCAAAGGCATGGAGATGGAATGGACAATACAAGGTGTTTACAAGAAATCAAAGAGAAGTACTACATGGATAATGAAATATCTCAAAGAAAGGAGGCATCACAGAAAAAAATATCTATGCCCTAAAATGGTTAAGTTAATCAATACAGAGAAACTGCAATGAAGAGCAAAAAAGCACATTTTAAAAATTCAGTTGCGTTAATGTGAAAGTTTTAGAGTGGTCTTGGATTCAAATTCAGTTCATTGCATAGGAAATCATTACAGTTCTTTCTCTAGTCTGTCAATAAACAGAGAACTATAACCGTGGCAATAAAACAACTGGGATTATCAAACTAGGAGATAATCAAAGAGAATACCGGCGCTTTGATGTTGGAGGGTAATAAGTGTCACAAAATTATTTCTCAAGGAGGAGAAAAACGGTCTAAATGTGCTGAAATCTGTAAAACTTACTCAGAACAAAAGCAAAAGCAAAAATGAAACAGCACCTAGGAAATAGTAATGCACAGTGGCACATTCCAGGAAAACGAACCACGTGATGAAGTTGGAGCTTCAGTATTCTACTGTATTTCTTATTGAAGATGACTATCCTACAAAATTTACTCATTCAACAAATATTAATTGAGTATGTTCTAGGCACCAGGCACAGTTCAATGTGGGTTGAAAAACACGAATAAGCTTAAAATTATTATTATTTTCCTGAAAAAAAATTTTGTAAGTACACCATATCAGTACCTAAGTAACCTTTCAAGTGACTGGGTATAGTGTTCTGTATGGCTAAGGATCTTGGACCTTTTCAACCTCTGATACACAAATATGACATAGCAAAAACTACCCAAATACAGGGTAAAAGACTTAATGAGAGTATATTTAATGCTTTTCTTTATAAAAGTCCATATTATTGTTTTAAAATCATCAATTGCTTATTAAATTTCATGCATGGAGCCACTTAGTGACTCTTAATAGTTGTAGAAAAAAGCATGATTTTTAAAGATTGCTGAGCACATTATATTGAAATAACTTGATGAATGACTTGATTTTTAAATACTCCATTACAATTCTTCCTACAGAAGAATGGGAAACAAACAAAAAAAACAAATAAACAAAAAACAATGGTGAAATGCCTTTCAGATATGATCATCAAGTAGGCTGTTGGGATATGTATTTTTAAATGTTCATGAGAAGAAAAGGTGGGATGAGGAATGGAAAAGGGCACCACATTCAGTCTTACCGAGAAAAGGATGAAAGAGCATTTTATATCATTTCATATATTTGCAGCACTTAACTTGTAAGTCACCAGTTAGGATCTGATTAAATGCATGCCTACCTTTCCTGATCCCTCCATCAGAAGCACACGTGAAATCACCTGTCGTCAGTAGGAAACATGTTTCCCCTCTTCTGTTTTTGTCTCTGGTACTAGAGCGTCTGATGGGGAGCCTTTCTGGGGGTGACAATGGCGGCTCACTTCCTGTACTGTCTTCACCTGATAACACTGGTCACAGCAGCATGCCCATTGGACAGACAGTGACGGATGAGGAAGTGAGACAGTACAAAGAGTTTACACTGAATGTCCATAGTACAGTCACTTGATATACAAAACACAATAATCACATCATGATAAAAAAAAAAAGAATTTCCATCACTCATTACAAAAATTTGCATGGAGCAAAGTGGAAATGTATTGCAAAGGAGAGAAATGTTCCTTGGGAAATTTTAATTCCATTTTGGATTTTATCCAATAGGAAATTGACTTTCACAAAACTAATATGCTTCAAAATAAGGATGACAATGAAGTAGCAAACATATTATTATCTTATAATTTCTGACATGCTCTCTAGTTACTGGGATTAGGAATCTTTAAAAGTGGAACTACTTAAGGAAAAATTCCTAAGCAAATATTTGTCTTTGCAATTCTTTAAGACACGCTTTTGTCATTTTTTGAAAGTAATTTTCCCCCAAAATCTTAATGAAAATAATTCTAAAGCTCACAAACTCTGTGTGCAGGTTCTTCATTTTTAAGGGACAGAATATTTTTTAGCATAATCGTGGAACAAGATCAACTTTTCCAAATGCCCTTGAAATAACTGTTTATCTCTATGTGCTTGCCAAACACATTCACATCCTATCAGCCTAGATACTAGCTTATTCTTACAATGTTTATCCAGGCTGAGAGTGTGTCCTCTTTTCCATGCCCTTCAAAAGCGCTCTGCACAAGTACTCCGAGAGCAGTCTAACCAAGCTGGCGGCACCAGCTCAACTCTACCTTTCATACAGGAACTCTTGGCCTAACAGTTTTCAGATACATATGGAGAGAATTTGCAGAACAGTCTAAAAAATGAACATAAGGACTATGAATACTATTTTTAAAAAGCAGTTCAGTTCCAGTCACATTTTTTTCCCCCATTTACTTCATAAACATTTCTGTAAGCCAAGGGAGGAACCTCTGATCATGTCACCTGTCTTGTTTGTATGCTGGCTTGCTTTAATTGGTGTTATTTCTAAATTACACAAAATGACTCCGGTAGGATTATCATAAATCATATTTCTACAAGGAAAAGATGAAATATACCTAAATTACAGGGGATACAGGTATCTTACATTTTCATAGCTGGGAAAAGGTAATTAAATTGTTTAATCTATAAAATATTTCATCTGCATCAAACAGCCCAGAGATGACATTATTATTTCTTGAGAAAATTGAATGTCAGTGTACAATCTTTTCTAGATTATCTGTGGCATTGGAGAGGAGTAGGGATTCATCTAGTTTCAAGAAGCAAATCATCCCAAATTCATTTCTGGGAAGGAGCAGAGCCCAGTGCATAATGAGTTGAAAAGGAAATCCAAAGAGAAATTCCTCTTTGTTGTTGATTAACCAAAGTAGATAACTTATCCCCAGAATAATGATGGCTTTATTATATAACATAGCACCCTGCCCAATCCAAAGGGGGTTATGTTGAAAACCCTACCTAATTTAAGAATAATGACAATTTAATTAATCCTCCACAGTATTACTAGGAAAGACCTTTGTTATCAAAAGGGCTATCTTCCTTATCACCTCTTTGACGGTTAAGTCTTTGAAGTGCAAACATCCATTCTTCTCAAGGAACTGCTGCTTGTGAATTAGGTTGAGAGGCACGGTCCCAGGTGGCAGAGATAAAACTGAGACAAACACACCAAGCCAAATGAGGTGGAGATCAACATTTTGAGGATGAAAGATGGAAATGGCCAATATCATACCATCACATCGTGCAGGGGAACAGAGAAACAATGGCGTGAAAGCAACAAACAGGCAAAAGAAAATATTGGCACCATCAGCGAAGGGCGTTCCCACCAAAGCAGAAGAACTCTATAGACCAGCTATGCAGACTTCTACTTGGAATTCACTTAGAAAAGCTACACTTTTAACTACCTACAAGCCTGACACAAACGCATGTTATGAGAGGGAGTAGAACTGAAAACTCAAGACCATTTGCAGAAAATGAGAATGGTTGCCTTTTTCCTACGGGCCACACTGGTCTATAAAGTAATTGATGGCATGCATTTGAAATTGTGTCTTACCTGATCTGTTATGTTCCAGAAGCCGATTGTCTTTGCCCAGACACATGTCACCTTGAGTGCTATTGCAGGCCATATTTAATTCTGTCTTGCAAAAAGTAGGAGAGCTTGCTTGAGGGGCAGGAGGGATGTGTTTCTTTCTTTTCCTTGGAAGTTTCTGCTTCGCCATCGCCAGAGAGTAGTACATTCCAAAGTTGTTGACAATGACCGGCACTGGCATGGCTATGGTAAGCACCCCAGCCAGAGCACACAGGGCTCCCACCAGCATCCCTGACCATGTTTTTGGGTACATATCCCCATAGCCCAGGGTAGTCATGGTCACTACAGCCCACCAGAAGCCGATAGGAATGTTTTTGAACTGCGTGTGCTCACTAGCTGAAGGGTCGTTGGGTTGAGCTCCTACTCTCTCGGCATAGTAGATCATAGTAGCAAATATCAAAACTCCTAGAGCCAGGAAGATGATCAGCAGCAAAAATTCATTAGTACTAGCTCGAAGAGTGTGTCCAAGCACCCTCAGACCTACAAAATGGCGGGTGAGCTTGAAGATTCTCAGGATCCTCACAAATCTTACCACCCTGAGGAAGCCAAGGACATCTTTAGCGGCTTTGGATGAGAGCCCACTGAGCCCCACCTCCAAGTAGAAGGGTAGAATGGCCACAAAGTCAATGATGTTCAAGAGATTTTTGACGAATTCAAGTTTATTGGGGGAAAAAACAATACGGACTAAAAATTCAAACGTAAACCACACTACGCACACTCCCTCTACATACATCAAGGCAGGATCCGTTTCGATTTCATATTGTAGAACAACGCTTGTGCCATTGATGACTGGTTCTGTCTTGTTTTTAACGGTATTGAAAGCTTCATGTGTCTCCAGGCAAAAGGTTGTGATCGAAACCAGGATGAAGAATAAAGAAGCAAAAGCAATAAACTGTAGGGAAAGAAAAGAAATAAATAAAAAAGGAAAGAGTGATCTGAGCCATAATATACTTCGATCCAAATCTAAGAGTATTGATCCCTGTAGATGAAAAAGAATGAAAACGTATTTGGAGATTTCACCTGGAATGTTACTCAAGTAACAAGTAAAAGAAGAGATGTGGAGTTAATATGAATCTGAACTGCACGTGCCATGTGTTTCAAGTTCTGTTTTCAGCTTTATAGGTAAAAAGTCTTGCTTTATGTTGGAAAATCACTCCGTAACTTTCATGTAAGAAAATGTACCTATGAAAAAAGTATATAAAACACTCCAAAAGAATGCTTAAAAACAGACTGAAAAAAATAATAAATGCAGACGATGAAAGAAATAATAAATGTAGACAATGGCTCCAAATAGTTTGTGACCCTAGAAATATTCATGTATTTGATCAAGTTTTAAGTCTATGAATAAAAGGCACAGTCCACACTGATGGAAATTTGAAGGCAGCTCAAATTTAACTGTAGGTTGCTATCTCTAAATAAAATGTCCAGGTTGTAATGAGGTATGAACATAAAAAAAAAATCTTTGATTTATTTTCCCACTTAAATTATATCAACTTAAAATGGAGAATTGTCCAAAAGAGTAAATCTAGGGAGAAAGAGTAGGCAACAAGACCAAAGAGAGAGAAACAGAGTTAAGGAACAAATTAAAAGACAATTTTCTTCCTGAAAAAGAACTCCAAGGGTTAGAGTAACACGTTATAAAGCGGCAGGTAGTTTTCTCTATTGTTTTATTCAATGCCTCATTTCACTTCTCAGTAAATAATATATGAATACACATACCCACTAAGAAAAATAAAAAAGCATGCTTATTTACATAGTTCTTACTGACATCAGACTCTTAGAAACATTTATATAAGTAACTCATAACAATACCCATAACAACATTACTACTACCTCATTTTACAGTGTCAGCATATTAGACACAGAGAGGTTAAGTCACATTTCCAAAGTCACACCTAAGACACTAACCTGACAATTTTTTGCCCTAGATTCTGTTTCTTTAACTATCAAACCCTCAGATGTAAAACACAAATATGTTGAAATATTTATTTATCTTGGCATTCACACATTTCTTACTGTTAAAGACCTGAAAACTTGAAACCCAGTTGTTGGAGGGAATGGCATTGTTTCGGTCAGTAACAGAGACTGTCAAGGAAGCTGGCAGATTCCCAGCATTCTCTGATAATGCTCTCACATTTAGCAGGCTTAATAAGCACCAAGAGACCATTTCTTGAATATTTAAACAAATGAATTATTCAGGAGTAGTAAGTCATCAATCAAGGGGAGGGAAGCCCTTATTTGGAAAAAATAGGGTACATCCCAAACCTAAAGCTGTTTCCTGATATTTACTTAACCATGCCATTGAGAAGATCTAAATTTCAAGGACAGATTGAAACCACCTTTTTTAACCTGGTTGAGTTTCAATGTAAGATATATACAAATCTTGCTATATATAAAAGAGATACATGAAGAGACAAAAAAAATCTTGGGATGGTGACTATCTGCCTTAAACACCAACCCCAAATTATAGATTATTTCAATGCAGTGTGCCAGTTAACACATCATTCATACAGTCATAAGGCATGTCATTTTCATGGCTTTGACTTATTTTTCCATGCATATCTTTCAGCTTCCCACGGTTTTGACATTATGATTTGACTATTTCTTTCACAGACATATTATGAGATATTAGCATGTTTTTTTCACTCAACTTTCCCTATGCACAAATCAATATAGATGATTCTTTTTTAATCAACTGCATACTGTAATATAGTACCACTAAGACCCTCTACATACTTTAAAAGATGACACCTTGGAGGAAGAATCAATTATCTTGTATTCATACATTACTTCTTAATCTAATCACAATATCATTATAGTTTTGAGAATCAAGTGTATTTCTGATTCCCCCTGAAATCTTTTGTCATTAGACTGCTGCCAGTATGTACATATCGATTCCCCCAATTTCTCCCCACTCTCCCCCATACCCACCTGGCTCCATCATTTCCAGCTAAGTGTCACAAGTTTTAGTGCACAAATTCTATCAATGAGGCAGTTAGAAAATATAAGACAGGTAAAGTAAACTACAATTTTATTTTATGCTTCTAGTGTTTCTCAGTCAGCATTTTTCAGCCAATTTCACAGTCTCAAATTCTCTCCACCTACATTCATGCAGTGAATTGAGTGGGACTTGCCAGTGTTGCTCTTTTAAGATCAGTTCACCTCCCATCCAACAAAGACAGTTTTCTAATATACTTTGATGCTTGTCGATATGAAACACTGAGACCTCTTCCATTCAGACATCTTCCTACTCTTCATTCACTCAATTATTCATTCAACAAGTATGTATTACGTGCCTCCTTGTGCCAGGCCCCAGGGCTAGGGTTTTAATTTAACAAAACACAATTCCTGCCTGTGAGAAACTCACAGTCCACTAGGGACAGAGACATTAAATAATTAATCCCACAGTAATTACATAATTACAAGTGTAATAGAAGCAAGGATTAAAAAGGGGAGCTTATTTAAACTAAGGGGACCATTAGAAACCTCTGAAAAAATACCAATAGATTGAAATTTGAGGGATAAGTGGAGGCTGACCTGATGGAAAGACTTGTGTTAAAGCAGCAGGAGCTTTAACAAAAACAGCTGGACGTTTTCAATCTCACTTTCTCAAGTGGTGCTTTGACTATAACACTGCAGGAATGGCAGGTTTTCCAAATCTGCCTATTTTGCCCAAATTGTGATGAATAAATCACAGCCTGGCTGCATTGAAATAATCCATAATTTGGGGTTGGTCTTCAGGTTAACCTTTTTTTTCTGAAGAGATTTATACCTACTAAAAGTGTTACGTGGGTTTTAAAATGAGACTGCAAGGTAACTTTAGAGCAATTTGATTGCTAGTAGTGCTCCCCTGGACTCACTGACCGCTTGTCCGAAATTCTTGTACCAACCCCACTGTTTGGGATGAAGTGAATTAAAAGATATATAGTGAAGTGGTTTTTTCATTTAAAGCACTATACAAATATTAGAAAACATTGTTACATATACTGTAGTAGGTTTTAAAATATATAATTATTACCTCAGTAAGAAATCCTAGCACCTGATGTTTATGTTCATTAAATGAGTTATTATATTTTCAAGAAAATATCAAGAGTCTTAAGATACCACATGTGGTGGCTGGACTTTAAGTAACATGAATCATCTTATACTTGGAAACCATTTAAATTATCTACTCACTCCTAGGAAAGTATTTTGGTCAAATTTGTTAGAATCCATCTAGGGGTCTTACACAAATGTGAATTCCATCCCCCAGATCAGAGAACATACATAGATTCTCTTGTTTGGGGTGGGGGAATCTGCATTTAACAAGCCTCCTAGGTGATTCCTATCATACTAACATTTGAAAACCATTGTTCTAATGTTTTTTGAAGATTTATAATACAAGATTGATAATTCGTTTTTAAATAAATTTGAACAGTTTTTAAATTATAAGCATTTGTAGACTCTTAGAAGAATCTTAAACCTTAAGAAAAACAGTTTACTACTTCCTATATAGTGGGATGTCTGTGCCTGTGTGTCTGTGTTACACGTTATGACATAATTTTGGCTTCTCAGCAAATACCTGTGAGTAAACGGAACAACTGTACATAAATAAACACAATTAAATATATGCAATTAAATATATGTAATTGTAAGATTTCAAATATAATAATATAATTCTGAATATACATAATATCTAAGACACAAAACTTTGGAAACCAAAGGTTGTTTCTATAAGTCATTTGGAACTTGTATTTATCAATATTTTTATTAGCACTGAAAGAACCACATCATGATTTTGTATTTGTATTATTCTTCATTGTAATTTTTTTTTTTTTGGTATCATTATTCTACAATTACATGAAGAACATTATGTTTACTAGACTCCCCCCTTCACCAAGTCCTCCCCACCTACCCCTTCACAGTCACTGTCCATCAGCGTAGTAAGATGCTGTAAAATCACTACTTGTCTTTTCCGTGTTGCACAGCCCTCCCCGTGCCCCCCCACACACTATACATGCTAATCATAATGCCCCTTTCTTTTTCCCTGCCCTTGTCCCTGCTTCATTGTAATTTTTATAGCTCGGTATGTCTTTAGCTTTTAAGGACTTTATAAATCTGCTAGAGGTACTAAACAGGAAAATAAAATAACAAATAGAAAAACTGAAACATTCCTGGAAAGTATCTTAATATTCCTAACATTATTCATCTCAGAAGTAGATGGTTATTTTGATTAAAAGAACATCTAGATAGGTCATTTTTGTTTGCATAGGCGAAGGACACTAGGTGTGGTCTAGAATGAGCAGACTGTTAACAGAGAACTAAAGTAGGCTTCACAATAACATGGTGGGAAATTGGAAGTTGGCCTCTCAGCTTGAAAGTGGGGAAGTTGGTAGGAAGTTGAATTCTGAAGAGAAGGAAATGGGTGAGGCCACTAAGGCAAAAGAAGAAAGGCCCATAATGTGAGGGCAAGCAAGCAAGAAATCCCTCCACAGGTTCAGGAGCAGAACTTTGGGACACCAATGGAGAATATTAAATGTCATGGTGGTACTGCTGTCCTCTGCCTTCAGCAAAAGGCGGCTGTGCAAACTGTGTGGTGTTGATGGTGCTTTAGGAAATCCAGCCATGAGAAGACAAAAAGAGCAGTCAACCAAGGGAGGCAAGATGCACAGAGAGGTTCAAAAACACAGAACAGTAACAAATAAGTGTTAAAGGTAATCAGAAGAAATTTGGTCACTGAAAAATCTGGAGATATTAGGAGAAACAGATCTTCCTGTGGAATGAATATGAGCTCAGTTTATTAGGAACATAGCTTTAATTATCAAGTGAAGAGGTGACCTTAGGACCCTTGAAGGCCTGGAACTTTCAGAGGCAATACTTAGACACCATTACCAAGGAATATGTGCACTTTAT